ATCTGTGTGTCTGTATGTCTGTATGTGTATCAGTGTATCAATGTGTGCTGAAGTATTCAAAATATTCAGTACTGTTAGAAAACGTGAAATAATTTATTTGCAGAAGTCACCATTAAAGTCTATGGGAATTTTAGTAGACAAGTCATTTGGAAAGCTTATCTAACAGTATTGAATACTTTAGAAAGAGTAATAAATCAGGACGTCTGCTAATCATGGATTTATTGGCCACTGCACCGCTGTTTAATAGCATCCTATGTAAACGCCTAAGCACTCTTTTATATTAATGGGGATGCTGTAAACAATACATGATGTTGAAAACAATACATAATTGTGATGTTGAAAACTATGTAACTTTATTCCATCTCTTTAAAAACAACATCCATTGGATATCCACACAGACATATATCATAGGAAGCAAAAAACAGCAAAGAAAAAAAAACCTATTTAATTTCCCCTTTTTTTGCAGTTTTTTCCTCCTTTGATCTGTAGTTGTCTGCATATAAAATGGACGCTGGTTTTAAAGATTTGAAATAACATTTATACATTTTTCAACATCAGAGCTGGCTGCAGTGCATATACTGTTCAATATATTGTGAATTTCCAAGGATCCCTTCTGTGAACTAACTATATAGCATTGCAGGACAGATCTCCCTAACAGAGAACCAGGTATCCAATCTGGTTGGAGGTGCTTTCTTTTCCTTGAGTGAATAAATTAAGGTATTAAGGTCAAGGCAACTATATGGCGAAGCAACATAAATCTGAGAACATTTGAAGGCTTTAAACTCGTGTGAACAGAATGGTAAAATAGTTCTAATGATTCACAATCATCTCAGAAGAACATATAAGATAAATGTTAATCAAATGTTTTTTGTGTTTGGTTGTACAAGTCTGAAAATAAAACTACAGAGCTTTAACTGGATAAATAAGGCTGGGTCACGGTCTCTAAAATTGTCAGGGTTTCTAGTACATTAGTTTTCTAACGGTATTGTTTCTAAAACGTGTATAAGCATTTCCAGCTTCTTCTGTAGAGCCCTCCACATAGCTTGGTACCAAATAAATAAAATATGCATTGCATATGCAGGAATGTAGACACATTACAATAGATCATATACAAAATAATTGTATATACATATAATTTACAATAATATGCACTTAACAGTCCAATAGGGGCTTTTGTTTCCGGCAGAGATAAATATGATATATTACCTAATGTGAGATAATAATTATTTAAAGAAGAGCAATCAAACAGTAATGCACTTAGTCCCACTTGATCCCAAACAGAATAAGACAGTGTTAAATGATTGTATGAGGATAAACTAGAAGGGGAAGAAGCTCACATATTAGTAAATAAAACAGTCGTCTTATATCGTAATCTGCATCGAAATATCCAAGTGCTGCATTAATCTATTCATGTACTATTGAATATCCAATACACAACTGCAAGTCACTTTATATCATCTTTTAAGGCAGGGTTGTCCAATTATGTTCCCCTTGATGTTGATCAGCTACGCCTACCAAAAGTATTGGAATGCAATCAATATACAGTGCCTTGCAAAAGTATTCACCCCCATTGGCATTTTTTGTGTTTTATTGCCTCACAACTTGGAATTAACATGGATTGTTTGATGATTTGCATCATTTAATTTACAGAACATGTCAGCAACTTTGAAGATTTTTTTATTTTTTATTGTGAAACAAACAACAAATAGGACAAAATAACAGAAAAAGTAAATGTGCATAACTATTCACCCCCCTAAAGTCAATACTTTGTAGAGCCACCTTTTGCAGCAATCACAGCTCCAAGTCACTTTGGATAAGTCTCTATGACACATCTTACCACTGGGATTTTTGCCCATTCCTCCTTGAAAAACTGCTCCAGCTCCTTCAAGTTGGATGGTTTGCGCTTGTGAACAGCAATATTTAAGCCTGACCACAGATTTTCTATTGGATTGAGGTCTTGACTAGGCCATTCCAACACATTTACATGTTTGCCCTTAAACCACTCAAGTGTCGCAGTGTGTTTGGGGTCATTGTCCTGCTGGAAGGTGAACCTCCGTCCTAGCCTCAAATGATGCATAGAGTGGTACAGGTTTTGCTCAAGAATATCCCTGTATTTAGCACCATCCATCTTTCCCTCAACTCTGACCAGTTTCCCAGTCCCGGCTGCTGAAAAACATCCCCACAGCATGATGCTGCCCCCACCATGTTTCACTGTGGGGATGGTGTTCTTTGGGTGATGTGATGTGATGTGTTGGGTTTGCGCCAGATATAGCGTTTTCATTGATGACCGAACAGTTCAATTTTAGTCTCACCAGACCAGAGCACCTTCCTTGATACATTTTGGGAGTTTCCTACATGTCTTTTCACAAATTCAAAACATGCTATTTAGTTTTTTTTGCTGAAAGTAATGGCTTTCTTCAGGCCACTCTGCCATCAAGCCCAGCTCTATGGAGCGTACGGCTTACTGTCATCCTATGTACAGATACTCCAGTCTCTGCTGTGGAACTCTGCAGCTAATCCAGGGTTACCTTAGGTCTCTGTGCTGCCTCTCTTTAATGCCCTCCATGCCTGGTCCGTGAGTTTTGGTGGGCAGCCGTCTCTTGGCAGGTTTGCTGTTATGCCATGTTCTTTTTTTTGGTTATGATAGATTTGATGGTGCTCCTGGGGATCATCAAAGATTTGGATATTTTTTTATAACCTAACCCTGACTTGTACTTCTCAAAAACATTTTCCCTTACTTGTTTGGAGAGTTCCTTGGTCTTCATGGCAGTGTTTGGTTAGTGGTGCCTCTTGCTTAGGTGTTGCAGCCTCTGGGGCCTTTCAAAAAAGGTGTGTATATGTAATGACAGATCATGTGACACTTAGATTGCACACGTGTGGACATCATTTCACTAATTATGTGACTTCTGAAGGTAATTGGTTGCACCAGAGCTTTTTATTGGCTTCATAACAACGGGGGTGAATACATACGCACAATTTTCTGTTTTCTTTTTTTTTTTTATACTTTATTTTTTCATCTTGACAAAAGTGGCGTGAGCCATATAAGCGATTTGGCTTGCGCAGAAGCCTGTTGATCCACATTATAATTGTACATATTTATACAGGTGTCATTGCTAAGCAAATCCAACAATCTTCGTGGCGCTGGGCTCATTTGGCCACTTGTCAAGGGATTTTTTGTTTATATAATAAAACTTGTTTTTTAGCTGAAGCACTTGACATGTTCACAATACCTGGTGCGCAGTACTGTATATAAGCCATTCCAACCTTTTGTAACCAAACTCCTGTTCACATTTCCATTATTGTTGTTAGCCATAAGACATCTATATTTGTCAAGTTACATTCATTTGTCTGTTTGTTTAAGTATAACAATAACTAAAAAGTCTATGAAACTTATGTAACCGTCTACCATAACTTTGCGTATGGTGGCTCCTGTAGCATGCTATGTCTCCGTTAATGGTAGGGTGGAAGAAAGAGTTAAAAGTAGGAAAGAGAGTAGAGAGAGGTTCCCATTAGACCATGGGGGTGCCGGTTACCAACCGTTTGGTGTTACGCGGTCCCTCGTGAGAGAGGCCTTGTTGGGGGGCAATTCAGGAGGGATAGAGGGTGGTGGGTTTTTCCACCTGGTACTTATGTCCGCTCATGCTAAGTCTCTAGCTGTCCAGGGTTCCCATAATTTATCAAATCGTGTCATGGAGCCTCGTACCCTGGCTGTCAGGCTGTCCATAAGGTATACGTCTTTTATGTTTGGTATGACTGTCCTAGCTGCTCTCCTAGCTGCTAGTGTCACTTTGTGTATTAGCTTTTGTTCCCTCCTTGTCCAGTTCTCTAAGGACCTGTTAAGTAGGTACGTCCATGGGTTTAAGTCCGGGGCTCTGTGGAATATACGTGACATTAGTCGATGTATCTGTGTCCAAAAGGTTTTTACTCGCGGGCACTCCCAACACATGTGGAGGTAAGTGCCTTTAAGGCCGCAGCCTCTCCAACAGTCGTCTGTTGGTGTCTTCCCCACTTGCCGTAATTTCACTGGTGTAGTGTACCACCTAAACATTGTTTTATAGGTCTGTTCCTGGAGAGACACACATATGGATACAGAGTTGTTCACTTCCCAAACCTCTCTCCACTCCACCCCCTCCAGTTCCTCCGCTAGTTCCTTTTCCCATGTGCTTGTGTATGTGAGAGAGCCCAATTCCACGGTTTCTGAGCATATGTGTGCATATAGTTTCGAGATGAGACCTGGCTGTGGTGATTCGTTTAGGCACATCTTTTCAAAAAAGGACATGCGCCCTGTGGCCGCGCTTTGTATGAGTGGGCATTTCACCTAGCCTTTAAGTTGCAGATAGCGGAAGAAGTCAGCGGGGGTGAGGTGTGTCGTCTGTTTTAGGTGTTCGAAGGTAACTAATGAATCATTCTGAAACATGTGGCATATCCTTTGTAACCCTGATTTCTCTAGGTTGGCAAAGTCTCTTGCTGTCAGCCCTGGTGGGAAAGCCCTGTTCCGTAGTAGTGGGGATAGTGGGGATGGGGTAGATATCAGTCTAAATTTGTGAGCTGCGGCATCCCATATTCGCATAGCATTCAGGATTGCCGGGCAGGTCGTGCGTAGGATAGGTCTATCCTCTTTCGGGGTCCATATGTGGAATTGGGGTAGATCTGCTCCCGTCATTAATGACTCCAAGTCTGCCCATCCCCTTTCCTCTGGTGGGGTGTGCCACTTGAGCAAGTTGGGCCGCCAAATAGTAGCAATACAGGTGTGGTAGGCCTAGACCACCCCCTTGTTTCTGTCTGTATAGGGTGTTTCTTGAAATTCTGTGACGTTTATTTTGCCAGATAAAGTTTCCTATCATTTGTTGTAGCGGGGCTAGGTCTGATTTAGTGAGTTTAATGGGCAAGGCTTGAAATAGAAATAGTATACGGGGTAATATGTTCATTTTAACCGCGTGGACACGCCCTATCCATGAAATGGGTTTATCTTGCCATTTGTCCATGTCGGTGGTGAGTGCCTTAAGTAATGGGGTGTAATTCAGTCGGTATAAGTTTACTGGGTCGTCTGGTAAGTGAATCTCTAGATATTTAATATGACCCTGTGCTAGTGGTATGTTGTGGGTCGCCCGCACCGCCGCCGCATCCCCCGCAGACATTCCTATTGGAAGGGCACTTGACTTATCCAAGTAGGCCTTGTATCCCGAGAAGGTTCCGTATTTTGTTAGAGTTTCTGTGAGGGCCGCCATCGCGTCCCTTGGCTCCGTAAAGCGTCAGGAGCACGTCATCCGCGTAAGCGGAGACAAGGAACTCCTGCCCTCTGACCTTTACCCCTTTAATTCGGGGGTTTTGCCTTATGGCCTGTAGTAGGGGCTCTAGCGTTAATGCAAATAATAGTGGAGAGAGAGGACATCCCTGTCTCGTACTATTACCCAGACTAAATGGCTGGGGCCATGCGCCTGCTATTGTCACCTGTGCCGTTGCGTTGCTATACATTGCTTGAACTGCAGTCACAAATTTGTCTGGGAAATCCAGGAACTTCAGTAGATTAAAAAGGTAGGGCCATTCAACTCTGTCAAATGCCTTTTCAGCGTCAAGCGAGACCACCAAGGTGGGTGAGTTGGTTACCCGTTGTCGCCATATTATATCTATATTTCTTCTGGTGTTTTCAAATAGTTGGCGGTTTGGGATGAATCCCACTTGGTCTGGGTGTATTAATGACTTCAGCATGGGGTTAAGGCGATCTGCTAATATCTTTGCTAATATTTTGATGTCTTGGTTGATGAGGGAGATGGGTCTGTAGTTCGCTGGTTGTAGTGGGTCCGTGCCTGGTTTCGGAAGAAGGATAATGTTTGCTAGTGACATTTCCTTTACGGGTTTCCGCTCTCCAGAAAGTCGTTAAAGAGCTGGGATAGTTTGGGTGAAAGCTCTTCTCGGAACATTTTATAATATCCCCCGTCGAATCCGTCGGGGCCGGGGCCTTATGGCTCCAGAGTCCCGCTATGGCCTTGTCTACATCTTTGCTGGTGATGCTTTCGTTTAGGAGCTGTGCATGTTCTGTGGTTAGCTTCGGCAGGTCCAGTTCTTGGAGGAAGGTGTGCATTGCGGTCTCTATTGTCGCTAGGCATTCCGGGTCTTTAGGAGTGTGATTGTATAGTGACCTATAATATTCTGTGAATATATGGGCAATACCGGCTGGGGTGTTTTTTATAGTGCCGTCCCTGTGCTTGAGTGCTCCAATGTGTGTACGTCTTTGTCTCGGACGCAGTACTCTAGCTAATAGGGTGTCTGCTATGTTCGCTTTTTCGTAGTAAGACCTCCTAGACCAGGTGATGTCTCTAGCTGCGTCGTCTAATAGAAGTTCAGTAATGGATCTCCTAATGTTTCGCAGTTGGTCGAGAAGTTGGGGTGAGGGCGCTGTCTTATGTTTCAGTTCTGTTTTGCATAGCGATTCTAACAGTTGCCGGAGTCGCTGTGTTTTCTATTTCTTTTTCCTGGTGGCCAGCCGGATACACACGCCGCGTATGACCGCTTTATGTGCAGCCCATATGGTCCCCGGCGACACGTCCCCTGTCGCATTTTCAAGAAAGTAGTTTCGGATTTCTTTCCTTATTTCGGCTTGAGTCGATTGGTCACGCAGCAAAGTGGGGTTTAGTTTCCAGTTCCACAGTGAAGCGGTGCAGAGGTTTCCCAGCGTTATTGAGACGTCTGTGTGGTCTGACCATGTGATGGACCCTACTGATGTGTCCACCACCCTGGCCAGCCCCGCGTCATTTACTAGGAAGTAGTCGATCCTAGAGTAAGTCCCATGGTGGGCTGAGTAGAACGTATACTCGACTGCCTCCGGGTGGTGTGCTCGCCAAACGTCCACTAGTCCAGTGGCTTGAATGAAGTCATGTAGTGCCCTGTCTTGCCCGCCCCTTCCTTGGGACCTCGGACACGGAACTCGATTGAAGTCGCCCCCAACCAGTAGTATGCCATAGGGTAGTGCCGCTACCTTAGTAGTCAGGGTTTTCCAGTAGCTACTGTCTGGGGCGTTAGGAGCATATAGGTTGATCCTATGCACAGTGTGGGAGTGCAGGGTCCCAGTCAGGATGAGATACCTCCCCTCAGGGTCTGTGTCTGTTGCGGATATTTGGACAGGGCATGTGTTGCGGATAAGTATAGCCACCCCATTTCTTTTCCCATGTGATCTGGCTTCGTATGTGGGGTAGGTGCGATCACTTACTTTGAATGTTGTGTTTTTCGATATGTGTGTCTCTTGCAGAAAGGCAATGTCTGCCCCCATTCTCTTCATTTCCCTAAACATTAGACGCCTTTTCTTGGGAGCGTTCAGACCTTTAGCGTTGATGGATACAACCTTCAATGCCATGGTCTCATTTGAAAAGATCGCGTTATCAGTGGCATAGTACGTCCCTTCCGTCGTGCCCTCTTTATGATTAGTGTGCCCTCGACTCCATTGCCCTCCTGGCCTGATGAGAAAGAGAGAAGTAGGGAAAAGAAAGAAAGGGTAGAGAACTGATATAACATGTTAAGGGGTGAGTTATGTCTGGTCTTACGAATCGCCAGAAGTATATGGGGTGTAACTACCGGTATTGTCCTCCCCACCAGTGGGCAGACAATAGGTAGGTGTATAGATCCAGGTGTGACTTCACCGTATTTCAGCACTTATGTGTACTAAACCTGAGATAGAATGAATAGAGTTGTGAGCTAACGTGCCCCTCCCGCCATTGGTTAAGTTTATTGTTGCTGTTTTTTTTTTTTTTTTCTGTTTTGTTAAAGTAAACAGATTCATTATGAACACTTTGTACTTAATTTGTAATTGTGCACCGCTTTTCCAGGTCATTGTTGTCAGCCCTAGTGTCCTGTCAGGGGGGGCTAATAAACATGCGGCTATGGTCGCCTACAGGTGGCATAGTAAGCTGCAATCTATCGTCTCTGGGTGCGGGAGGTAGGTCTGTGTTTTCATTGGGGGTCCCAATGTGAGTTATAGTCTAGGGTGGCCTCCCTGCCCCACTGACTAGTCTCTCTCCCACCCTGTTGGTGGCTCGCCCTAGTTATCCTGACTCTTCTCCGGCTGTGATACCTGCGCCCAGGCAGGGGGAGGGAAGGTGTCCCACCCCGATCTGTCCTGCTAATGCCCATTTCAGGTTTCTCATTACCCCTGGGACGTCATCATGGGTCAGTATGGGGCCCCATCTCCCTCGCCCCCACTCTGATCAGTTCCTCCCACTCCGTTTTCCCCTTGTAGGCTGTCAGTTGGTACGTGTCTGGTCTTACCGGGAGTGTGCGTAAAACATACAGGTTAACCTATAAATACTTGTATAACGAGAACCTATACAGCCCCTGGACATGTGGGTTTTATAGGGTGCTCAAGAGGCTCCCCAGGGGGTGGCTGCAATGTCCTGTCGGCAATGCCCCGGCTGAGCGCTAAGCTGGTGGTGCGTCAGTTATGCGGCTCCCCTTTGACATGTCCGACCCAGTGTCCACATCTTGTCCCTATGAGGGTTGTCCGTACTTTGGGTTGCCAGAGTTCCTCCGTGGGGGTGCCTCAGCGCCATCTCATTAATTGATTCTGCCGCCTGGATGTTCAGCCCCTTGGGGCGGTGGGGCCTCATGGTGTGAAATTGTCAGACTGCTTAGGGTGGTCTGAAGCGTAGGGCATGAAAGAGTCTCGCCCCATTCTCGCCTCCCTTACCCCCCGCACTCCCCCCACCCCGTGGGGAGGAGGCGGGCGGGGTATGTGACGGTGCCGGTGCCCCGGGTGCATGCTTGGGCCACGAAAGCGGGTCGCTTCTCCATAGTTGCCCGGTATGTCGTTGGGTTTAGTACGCTCTTGTGAGCTTTATACGGTGCGGTCGGAGCGGAGCTCTATTCAAGCACGTCCAGCTCGCTCTGTGTCTTGACCACACACCCTTTTGGCCACACACCCCTCAATTTTCTGTTTTCTATTTCTAAAAAAATTGTTTAATGTATATATTTTTCTCATTTCACTTCAGCAACTTAGACTATTGTGTTCTGATCCATCACATAAAATTCAGATTAATAAAACATTGAACTTAAGGCTGTAATATAACAAAGTAGGTAAAAAGTCAAGGGGGGTGAATACTTTTGCAAGGCACTGTGTATATATATATATATATATATATCAAATTATTTGAGTTATATTATAAATCTGGGGCTGAAATTTGACAGTCTTCTACCAAGCCTCCCAGTCATCCCGATTTCAGTGAGTCCGTCCCAATTTTTGGGTCCTGGCCTGCCTTAATTATTTGGTGTTCCACTTTTAGAGGCACCAGGGAATTGTTCCCAACAAAAACATAGCACAAGTGCATCATAACAAACGCTTGTGGTATGTTTAGAGAACTAGTACTGAAACAGTGATCCCTGTAGGGTTTGCCCTCAGTGGGCTGGGCTGCATGAAGGACATGCAGCATGGCTTGCATTCATGCCAGGCTGACCTGCCATAAATAAAGGCAGAACCACTCTATTTCCGGGCAGGACTGCCTTTTTAGGGGCAGAGCTAGGGACGCTCTCCTTACTTCTCTCCCACCAGCGTCCCAATTTGCAGGACACCAGACCTGGGAGGTATATTCTAGGGTTTATTAGGGTCATTTCTGACCTTGCATAAACCTCAGTCTCCAAAAAGCACTTGTCGTATAGATGATATATACGAAGTGTGAAGTTGATAAAATCTTTTAAATTGTTGATATGCCCCTTGCTCAACAACCCCAACATAAAGCAGATAAGTAAGTATAATGAATTTATTAACTGGACATTGCAGACCTTAAAGGACCACTATAGTGCCAGGAAAACATACTTGTTTTCCTGGCACTATAGTGCCCTGAGGATGCCCCCACCCTCAGGGACCCCCTCCCGCCCAGCTCTGGGGAGAGGAAAGGGGTAAAAACTTACCTTTTTCCCGCGCTGGGCGGGGAGCTCTCCGATCCTCCTCCGTTCCTCCCATTCGGCTGAATGCGCACGCGCGGCAAGAGCTGCGCACTAATTCAGCCAGTCGCATGGGAAAGCATTTGCAATACTTTCCAATGGACGCTTGCGTGCTCTCACTGTGATTTTCACAGTGAGAATCACGCAAGCGCCTCTAGCGCCTCTAGAGGAATTGGAGGAAGGATTAACCCATTTGTAAACATAGCAGTTTCTCTGAAACTGCTATGTTTATAAAAAAATGGGTTGATCCTAGCTGGACCTGGCACCCAGACCACTTCATTAAGCTAAAAAAAAACATGCACTATGCAGCTGTCAAATATGAATATATCTGATTATTTCTGTGTTGCTTGTAATGTATAGTGTTTGAATCTGTCAGTATAGAGAGTATATGCAGGAGGTGGAGTATGAGGAGTTAATGTCAACAGGGTGCTCAGTGTTAAGAAGATTGACAACTTGAGACAAGTTAAATTTGTAGAATATAGGCTGTTTAGGATTACTGAGTTTATGGCTAGAGTGGGGTTAAATTTAGTGCTGGGGTACATGAGATATTTAGTTTTTAAGAGGAGTTAAACATAGGATTAAGGTAAATGGTTTATTTTCAAACTGATTGCTGGAAATAGGAAGGCCAGACCGCCAAGCTGAACGGTCGCATGGACGATCAGCTCCTGCTGCTTTGGGGCAATAAAGCACACAACTGCCAACTAACCTGCCTACCTGAAGCCTAAAAGCAGCTGTCCTATCTACGCAACTGTGCTGAAAACTAAAGTAACGCTTTTGCAACGAATTCTGGCCCCTGAAAAGGCATCTCGGCCCCGTAGCAGTAGAGGTCTAGCTGGGTGGTGAGTGGGGTGGACGGTCACTGCCCTGCTATCATGCCTAGCAGCTATACATCAAGCCTGTGGCAGTTGGCGGTTCCAGACTCATTTCCTCCCCCCTGTAGACTGGTGGGTCCTCGCCTTGGAGGCCCTCCTGTTCTTAAAACTGCTATTTCACTCCTGCATTGAACAGAAGCCCTCTCTCTAAAATGGCAGATGCCACACGTCCAGCAGTAGAGCGCTTACCTAGAAACTCGAGCGACTCTTCGTGGACTTCTTGGACAAGCTGGACCGACGTCTGCGACAGCCTGTCAGACTGGGGAGTAATGCACACCCTCCCCAGAGCTCATCGTCGGCTCGGGTCGAAGAGCGGAGCTGCAAAAGGCGGCAGCAGATGGGACAACATGGAAAGGCGGTCACAGTGTACCACACGCAGAGAGGCTGTGGCCCCGCGGACCTGCTCGAGTGGTGGCCTGGAAGACGGACACACAGTGGGAGCTACCAATACCTTTGTCAGGACATCACACCAACACCCAATACAGTCATGGAGCATGCTGGCAGTCAGGCAAAACTGAAGGGGATCGCCTGACTTATGACTCTTGCTGCCAATGATGCCATGACTTACCCAAGTTCCCCTTTTCTTTCCCATATGACCCACTGCATTTGTCTTTCTATTATTATTTATCTCAACCATGTTGGCTGGCATTATTACTGATGTGCATCTATCACCTCATGCATAGGAACTAGCGTCCCCGGGGCGATATATTAATTTTAAGTTTCAGTTAAGCATCCAGCTCTCCATTCCAACTTCTCTTAACTTCCCATTAATTGAGCTGGAATATGTTCTCTCTTATTCATTCTACAGTTATGCAACCAGTGCTTCAAGCCTGCATTTTATTATGTCTATCCATCTATTATCTCATAGTAGCACTGTGTTATGGTAGCTTGGCTAATATATAAAATTGTGCAGTTTACGCTATGTTGTCAGTTATACTCATGTACACATTTTATTTGTCATTTTCAACATCGAACTAAATGTTATGTTGCAACAATGCACAACGAAAATAAAGAATTATTTTTTTTTTAAAAACAGTTCATGGAACATATTCCAGATATAGAAAGAAAATACAAAAATAAATAGAAAGAGATTTTACTGATTAAGACTGGTACTGGCAGAGACCGTAAAAGTTTGTTTTGTATAGAAGTATAGAAAACATAAAAAACTATTTTAGACAGAGAGAAGCATGTTTTGCAGATGGAAACCAATATCTCCCATGTCTTTAACTGGTTTGATTTACATGTTTAAGCATGTGATAATATACATATATGTGAATGTATATTAAATATTAATAGTTTTCTGCTTTTTATTTCAAGCAATAACTATCTGGCCAACATTCAATTGAAACATCAAAAAATAGGTGTTGACAGCTGAATCTGAACCCTTTGATTATGCACATTTTACATTTAATATCTTCAAAGAACTATTACATTAACTAATATTAAGATTATACATTATTTTCACATAATTGAAGACATTATACCATTATCAGAAAAGTAAATATCTTTTGTAACGAGAAAATGGTAAAATATGTAATTATGCAGAGAAAGAAATTACAAATTTGCATTAATTCAGAGTTTAAATTAACATTTAAAATGCCAGGATTTATTTTTGTGCTTGAAATACCTTTTCATTAGATGCTACCTATTTTTTCATTTTATATCCATCACTAATTACACGCTACTTTCCTTCAATGTTTAACAATTGAATATTGCAATTTGTTACTTGCACAGAATGGACATAAATTATTAGCTGAACAATTTTCAAAACATGATTTCGCTCGTTATCTTTATGTATTACAAAATTTGCAAAACCTGTAACCAGAAACAAAAATTACAACCTTGTTGTTACTTTTGCCATTCTTTGACATTGTTACTGGCAGAAAAAAAGGTTTGTTAGATTTGGATTGCAAAGTTTTGATAATTGTTGACTGATAATGGCCAAAAGTCAGAAAACACTATAGATCGGTTACAAAAGCCATATTGTAATGGCATATTGTAATGGCACAATCATTTGCCCAAAAGACAAATATAATTAGTCCATTTGAAGTGTCACCTACTTAAAATAAGTACACCTGTTCGCATAAGGTTACATAATTTGTTAAAGACCACAGCTATACTATTAGAATGATAAAGAACAAGAAGGTATAAAAAAAAAACAAAAAACTAATTCTAGAGACATCAGTCTTAAACTCAGTGATGGTCTAAAAAGGACTTTAGCTAGAGAAGCAACCACCTGGCTTATGGTAACTCTAAAGAAGCTGGAGAGATCTGCAGGTGAAAAAGAAGACTGCATCATTTTGGTATTTTTGGACATGTTGCGAGAAGAAACAAGAAAAATATTTATGATGATATCCTACTTGGAGCTGAGCTCTGCCAAATTCTGGTAGGAAACAAAGAAAGTATGTTAGTAAAGGTTACTTGTTCTGGTATGACCAAAACTGAAAACATTTTGCCTTAGCACTGAAGTGGCTTAAATAAAGAAACTGAATTTATTAAAATTGTAGTTCATCGAGGGGGGCGTGGCTGACTGACCAGCAAGTAAGACGTGTGTGAGAGGAGATCCGCTCAAGAAATCGAGAAATAGCTGACTAAATCATTCTAAAAGCTCCAACAAGCATCACACAAGACTACCCCCACTTAGCTGACAATATGGGGAGTAAAAACAAAAGAATCCACTTACCGGACACTCGAAAACTGCTTTATATCAGGCTCTCATTCAACAGGCCTACCCCGCAAGCCGCTACCAAAATGGTGCCTGCAAAGCTGAGCGTAGACGAGGCCTCAGAGGCATCTCAGCACGCAGCACAAGCCACTGGGACAACCCCGCCAACTTGCACCAACAGTGTGTCTGAATCAGAGGAAGACTCGTCACCGCCAACGAAAAGAAATATAAAAAACCTATTGCTAAGGATGCAACAGGTGTGGAAAGCAGACCTGTGAGAAACCCAAACTGAGCTGGGAAACCTGCGCAAGAGAGTCACGGCAGTGGAGGCCAGAGACAGAGCCAGGGAACATGGGCTACAGACCGCTCAAGAGGAGATCCAAGACTTTGCCCAACAAGTCCGGTAACTCACCAGGACTGTGAAGGTGCTGGAATCATGGCACAGAAGAAAGAACATCCGCCTCAGAGCAGTACCGGAACGGGTCTCAGGAGATGCTCTCATGCCCTTCCTCGGAGGAGTCCAGAGATATTATTGCAGTAACTAAAGACATAGCCGCTAGGGCCGCCAAAATGTCATGTTCCAGAGAGCTTAAAAATGTATGCTTTGAGTGATGCATCATAGCTATATATGGGGACATCCCCTTTGCTGTGCTTACAGCAAAGAGGCAGCTAGCACCAGTCGCAAGACGACTGCGAGAGGCAGAAATTAAGTACAGGTGGGTGGCGGACGGATCACTAGTGGTTCAGCAGGGAGAGGAAACATTCACCTTACCCCCTAATAGAGAGCAGGCAACCTTTATTCAATGCCTACACCTGTCAGATGCAGAGTGGACCCATAAGGCAAAGACCAGCACTAGACGCTGACTCACAGCACCTAAGGCACATATGGTCGTAGTACTGAGCACCCCATGCCCATTCTCATCGGGTGTCCACAAGGAGTCTTGCCAACTGGTGATTGGCACAAATCTCACCCTAGTTGGGGATTACAAAATAATATTTGCCTAGATGACAAACTTAATGTTACAGTCCCTCCCATTTGTGTTTAATTCATATGCATCAGTTTTCGCTATTTTTCTTTAACACTTAAGATACCTAGGGGGAAGTGAGAGACACCGAACAAAAAGCAGGTTCCACTCGCTTATGACGCATGTCACCACAGGTCCATTCACCGGGGAGTACCCCCTAAATAATACATATAGATGTCGTATTGTATATATGCATTGTCTACTATATGACGATGATGGTATATTGTCTATACCAAACTATCACTCTCATACTGCGATAAAGTTGTGTTTTGCTTGTGAAAACTCAATAAAATACAAATTGGAAAAAAAAATATTGTAATTCATCAATGGTCCCCTCCAATCTGAGCTTTAGAAATTTTACCAAGAGAATGGTCACAAATTGCACAATACATATGTCTTAAACTGGCAGACGACTGACTCATTAGGATGCAACTAATAAATGGCTATTTTTTATAATTTTACTTTTCACAATAAATCGTTTTTACATTGAAAGTGTTCGGGAAGTTGAATCCCTATAATTTCAGGTTATAACAGCAAAAGGAATCATTCCCCCCTAAGACTTTTCTACAATGTGCCCTAAGTAATGCAGCTCATCCTTCTAATGTGTTGTTATTCTATGTAAAGAGATAACAGCTTCCTGTATCACTATACAATTAACTGACAACATATTTGGAAGAAACTCGTACAACAATCAACCTGCTGTTTAAAGAAAAGGAAGGACGCACTGTAAAACTTTTTAGGGGCCGCCCAACTTGTGGTAACATTATATAATTTTATATATATATATATATATATATATATATATATATAAAAATATATATATATTCTAATTTAAAAATAGCCATACATTAAAGGTATTTTAATCTCAACTCACATAAAAGAGGAACCATCTATTCAATATTGTCAGCTGATACTCATTATTTCTGTTGCTAACAACAAAATACTAAAACAAAATATGGATTATTTTCTTGGTCCCTTGGTCCACAGAATTATGCTTATAATAATAATCCACCAGCAACTCCCACATTCCCTAGATGGTAGTTAAGGGAGAGGGGGTGGGGGGGCTTAAAATGTATAAATGGGATCCTGAAACATTATTTTGCAAAACAGAAAGGCACGATCAATGATTTATAAAAGATATACGGAACCCTAGCAAAAATTAAACAAACAATTCCCATGCCAGGGAATATCTAATTCAGAGCAATCCCCCAACTACTCTAATTATCCAGGCTGGGAAATGCACCATCTCCCACCATAATACTAAAATGGGATTTCCAGACTCCTAGTTGGTCCCCCTGCACTATTGCTACTACCTATGCTCCTAAATGTATGTGGGCTTACAGAGTTTCTTCCATAAACTTTAATCTAAGATTATAAAGTGAGGGTAGTTAGATTGTAGATTTGGCTAAACAAAAGAAGGAAGGTATGCAGAAGAGGATAAAGGTCAAGCTGACTGCCTCAATAAATATTTTTGTTCAGTATTTACAGATGAAAATTAAGGAAAGGGACCTCAGTTAGGAAAAAGGTCAAATGAGCCATTTATTACATGTGAGTTTACAGAGGAAGAGGTTTTATTTCAACTGTCAAAAGTAAAGACAAATAAGTCAATGGGACCAGATGGAATACACCCAAAGTTATTAAAAGAGCTTAGTGGTGTACTAGCAAAACCATTAACAGATTTATTTAACCACTCATTGTTAACAGGAGTAGTCCCAGAAGATTGGAAGTTAGCAAGTAGTAGGGAGGAGTCAGGCAACTATAGGCCAGTAAGCCTTACTTCTGTAGTGGGGAAAGTAATGGAAACCATGTTAAA